AGTTCATCCAAGTTCAGGACTAGTTAAAGAGTAAAAACTTATCTATAAATAGATTCAAATTCTATTGAAAGAAATCTGTGATATTCTAGTGTGACATTTAAATTAGCAGCACAGAAAAATCCAGGTGCAAGAGTTGCTAAAAGACCAAATTGGAAAAGATACCATTCTAATATATAATCTCAGAATGAAAAAGGGCAAGGCAAGGAAATAGAAAACTCCCTATTTTGTTTTTATCCTCTCATAACTTTGACCATAACTACATTGGATTGAACTAAGTCTGACTATCTGTTTTCCATTTCAATGATTTGACTTCATTATTCTTACTAAGGTTATCACAATTTTTAAATCCTCCTCCTGCATTTGACTGAACCATGAGCACTCAAACTGCAGAGAGAAATGGACTTGCTATCCTCATGTTCAGCATCCAAAATTTGGAGTGTTCTGTGATCACAGATTCTGTCAAGATTGGGCTGTTTGTTGCCTGCACTTCATAAAACTGACATTCTTCTGCTTCTCACCTTATTTTCAAAGATGCAAAGAGGCAGTTACTCTACTGAAAATGCCTTTGATACCAATCTTGTACTAGTCCTGAAAGAGAAAAGTTTATTTTCGGATGAATTGCCTCCATCGCTCTGGTTTGGTTTCCCTTTTACCCAAGGCCATCAACAATACTTTGCCAAATCTCTTATTTTGCCAAGAATGCAACACAGCAGCATTACAGTAAATAAAACCTTATGAAATAAAAATAAAAAAATCCTTGCAAGAGCATAATATTTTCATATGCTGAGGAGAAACATTAAGAAAAGGTCACAGGATCAATTTATTTTTTATCTTTTTTAAACTTTAAAGGAAAGAAAACTATATGGTGGGCTGATTTAAATTGTCCTGGGCAACATACGGTAGCTTTGCTTCAAGCTATTACAATTTCAGCTAGCAAAAGTTAACTATTCTGTCAAATTTAAGGAGACATCCTTTTGCTGGAAAGAGAGTAAGTTTGAATTTAGAATCATGGTGTTTCATATATGAGGGAAGGTTGCCTTAAACGATGCCAAAATATTAAGATTTGAAAAGATGAATATTTTATTAGAATTTACACATTTTGTAGAGTAGGGTGCTATTTGTATCAGAAGTAAAAATGAGCAGATCTGGTAGCATCTGGAATTCAAGTGTGAAGGATTTTAAGGAAATTAACATTAAACAATCTCCTCTGTTCTTTTGAAGCACAATCATCACTATATTTTTATGATTAACTAACACCAAATAGACAACAATACTAGAGAACAGATACAGAAATAGTGTTAAAGGTAAAAGGGAAAGCTCAACATCAAAAAGTGATAAACAGTAATCATTCTCATTAGACACACAGATATGTTTTATGCCAGAAAGGATGGGAAAACGTTCAGAAAACAAAGGTTTGAGGATAATATTCTTGTAAATCTTCTGAATTCGCTGAAAGATTTTTCCTCCTCTACCAGGGACGAACAATATATCTATCTATAGAGCATCAGTCAGTCACCAAACTCTAGTCACATAATAGCTTGACCATTGTAACATGCTCTACATGGACTTGTCTTTGAAGACCACTCAGAAGCTTCAAATGATTCAACATGCTGTGCTGGGCATGCCTCAATATGCTCACATGACACTTCTGCTTTGTGGCCTGCACTGATTGCAATTAAAATGCTAGCATTATATGACAAATTTCCATAGTTTCTACCCAGCTGGTACGTGCTCCAAGTCCCTTACATTAAACAGCACCATCAATCTAGGAGGCATGTTTTCTGCTGCAGCACTTGGTCTCTGCAATGGGATCCTTCCTGAGATCTATGTGGCTCTCATCCTAATGGCGTTTTGGAAGGCCTGGAAGGCCTGGGGATTCTTTAAGGTCTTAGGTTAAAGTGATGGTTAAACCTGTTTCTTTTGCATTAATTCAGTGTTTCTCAACCTTGGAAGCTTGAAGATGGGTGGATTTCAACTCCCAGAATCCCCCAGCCAGTGCTGTTGGCTGGGGGATTCTGGGAGTTGAAGTCCACCCATCTTCAAGCTTCCAAGGTTGAGAAACACTGCATTAAATGGTCAAATCCCATCTTCTTTATCTATTTTGTGTGGTGCTTTTGCCTTGCTTTTTACTATACTGTGAGCCATCCAGAATCATTTCAGAGTCAGGCAGCACGAAAATAATTTTTTAAAGATTTTTTAATTCTATGTGAAGACTTTTCTTTGAAGAAACTTTTGTTTGAAAAATGAGACAAATGACTTCAGTGAAACATTAGTAGAAAATGATGTAATTAAAAAGGAACACATTTAAACAGTCTCTAAATATTCATAATTAGAGCTGTCATCTTGCTAAGTAATTCACCTTTGACTTTTGCAGCTTTTTTTCAAACTGTATGTCAGAAACAATGAATTCAACAAAACCAGGTATGTGACAGACCTAAATCTTTCAGAAACAATTGCAGGCAAGTCAAATAATCTCCATTCAAGCTATCAATAGTGCAAAAACTCCAAACACATCCCACTGAAAAGATGTGCAAGAACTTAACTCATTATTTCATATAACTTGCTGGAAATATTTTTTTTATGAGTTGTGCAATACATCTCTGTGATTATGGTATGATAGTGTGTAGCATATAGTGTCAGTATACCAGAAAAACCCCAACTCCAAGTAAAGACGCGGAAGGAAACATTTTCCAAGTAGAAATTTACTAGAATAGGCAAACTGGCACATCTGGGAAAACCCGAATCTGAAAAGCCCGGGTTTTCCTTCAGTAAGTCAAAGATCCCAAAATCATCCCCTTTTCCCCCCAGTCGGTCACATGCTTCAATCAACGTTCGTTCCATCTCAATCCAGCCCCCTGACCATTCCTTCTCCAGATGCTGGATCGCCCTGACCTTGACCGACAGGAAGAATGCTATTATGTCTACTAACAACCCCTCTCCTTAATCCCCCCTCCTACTTTCCCACACATAAGAAGGTGGCAGCATTGGAGCTTCCGGCCTAATATGGCTTCCAAGGCTGACATATAGCTTTTAATGGCCCAGAATGGCTGTTATTTTGCTGCTTTAATTCAGAAAAAGAAAAGAGAAAAAAGGGAGAAGACTCTCAATTTTGGTCTTGAACTGTAGGCCTGCTGTCAGGAGGGCTGATGAGCTGACCTGATTGCTAGCCAGGGTTCTTGTGAGTCAAACAGAGAGAACATTCTGTTGGACAGCCTTCTATACAGTGGTGGGTTGGTACCGGTTCGCACCGGTTTGGGAGAATTTGTAGCGGCGGCGGCAGGAGGCGCTGCCCACCCGCCCAGACACCATCAAAAACTCTCTGCGCATGCGCAGAAGCACCACGCGCTCCCAATAGCAAACCAGTAGCGAAGAAAATTGAAACTCACTACTGCTTCTATAGAAGGCTGGGACTAGAGCCCTGAAGGAGACACTTACTTCCTCAGTTGCTGAAGGCTAAAGTTGATGCTAGTGTGTGAATGCGTGTCTTTTGCATTAAATGGTCAAATCCCATCTTCTTTATCTATTGGTTCCTGGGTTGGAAAGGGAGAAGAAAAGTCAACAAGTGACTTCCCTCGAAAAAAGGAAATGAAGTCTCAGAGAGACAGAATGTTTATCCAAGGTCCAAAATGGGAAGCTCCAAGTAAGAACTGAAGCAGGGGTGGGTTCTAAAATTTTTTACTACCAGTTCTGTGGGCGTGGCTTATTTTGTGGGCGTGGCTTGATGGTCATGTGACAATTATTTAGGATTTAGCAGAGGTACTGGTCTATCAGGCTTTTAACTGCTTGCAGAGCTGTACTGATCTACCCATTTATTTTTTGCAGGCACTGGTCTACTCATGTATTTTTGCAGGCACTGATCTACTCATGTATTTTTGCAGGCACTGGTCTACCCATTTATTTTTGCAGGCACTGATCTACTCATGTATTTTTGCAGGCATTGATTTACTCATGTATTTTTGCAGGCACTGGTCTACCCATTTATTTTTGTAGGCACTGATCTACTCATGTATTTTTTCAGGCACTGGTCTACTCATTTGTTTTCTTTTAACACTGATCAGCTGTAGGGCGGCCCTTTGAAGCCCCGCGGCAAGAGTTTAAACAGTTTTTTTCCCTCTAGCCATCAGCTGGGACTCAGGAGGCAGCAATAGATTGGGGGTGGGGCCAAATAAAAGGTAAGAATAACATGGGGGATAAGGGGTGTGGGGGCAGGGGGGGAGGACCAGTTCGGTGACATCATATCGTCACCGCTACCGGCTCGGGAAAACCAGGCCGAATGGGGAGGAACCCACCACTGAACTGAAGTCTTCCAAGGGAGGTTCTACCCCCAACAGATGAGATGCGAACAATAATTGGTTGAGAAGATCCAAGGAAAGGAGAAGATCAAAGCTGAGCACTCTTATCCATAAATCAGCATAGTCCTTTCTTTACCCTCTCCTGATAATCTCCAAAACAAGGGAAGGAGATGAAATGAAGAAGGAAGATGTTAAGCATTTAGGAGAAGAATAGTTTCCAGAAGAGAGAACAAGGATCAGATACTGAGTAGAATCCACATATTTGTAAATAATTGTAAATACCTACTGTAAATAATTTTGTTATATATAATAGTAAAATTAAAGAAGCATAAAAGCCTTTACTTTCTGGGGTTTCTCTGTGCCTGCCCCATCCTTGTAACCTTAAGTACATATCCTGTTCTAAAAGAATCTAGTCACACCATTATATAGTGCTGTGATAAAAATTTCTGCTAATCACATAGTAGTAAGATTGAGCCAACAAGGTAAATAAGTAGAAGTATGAAATCTCCTTTTTCAAAAAAAAAAAAAAAAAAGCTCTGAATCTACATACCATACCTACATTCCTAGCTTAGTAAAATATTTAGTAATTCTTAGTGACACCATCTATCATCTGGGGAGATGGCTTTATCTGACATGCTCCCTACTAACTTTACCATGTGCTTTTCTCTCAAATAAAAGGAAGACACAAAAAAGAGAATATGTATCTACCTCCTGATCCTTAAGTTAAGCATGTGACTAGGGAACTCAGCTCCTCCTCTTCTTCCTCCAGTGTGAGAAAAGAGGCCAATCTCACAAGGGACAAACAGAATCAAGCTTTAATAAAAAAAAATCAGACAAGAGAAAAGGCAATCATTTATTTTTTAAGTTTAAGTGGTCACTTGCAAAACAATCAATGATACAGGAGATAAAAGTAGAGAATATAAAAATCATAGGCAATATTGTAATGAACATCAGTATAAAAATCACAGGAAATGCACAAAAATGTAAAGCTCTGAATAGACTATAAGATGGCATTGGTATAAAATCACTGAACTAGCATAGAAAAAATAAACATCAGAGACAACAAAGTAAACTAAAAAATTTAAAAAACACATAACAATCAAAATAAAAATAGTCACACATAGCTACTTACTCCTCAAAGGTAAATAGATTACCTGAAGCAAAAGTCTTCCCCTTTCTTCCTTCTTCATTTTTTAAAATATATTACAACCATTTTTTCAGAGGCTCAGGGGTGTTGCCTAACTACTTTACCTACCTTTACCTACTCCCCAGGACACAGCTTTTGTTTCGGTTTTTAAAAGACACAAATACTATTCTTACTATAAAAAGGGAAGCATCTGGGTGAACTTCCTGCCTTTGCAACATGATCTTCAACCGTGCCTCAATCAGACAGAATTAAATGTCTGAGACTATCTCCCAAGAGGATTGAAAGTGGGCTATTCTCACAATAGGTACTTGCCAGTTCTATATATTATTTAACCATGTAACTATGGTTATCAATGCAAAGAAAATTTAAGGGAGTTTCAGTTTAAGCAGAAAGTAAATCTTTTAATTTCTATTTCCTCCTTTGCTCGATCTGTATATTGGTAAGTAAAGCTCAGATTAAACAAAGAACCATATTTTCAGGAGCACCATATATTTCCAATGGCTGCTCTGAGGGAAAGCAAACCACAGCATATGCTGAAGTCATGGAACTTCTCCGCACTTGGAGAAGTAGATGAATGCAACAGTATTTTAAGGTGAGCAATGTATTTTTAGCCATATAAAGCTCCTTTTATTCAAATAGGATGTTTAGCTTCAACAAAGTTAATTGTGCAAATATTTGAGGAATAAGACTTTTCAACACAATCCAAGCTTACATTGCACTAAGCCATAATGTGGTTTGCATGATTTTGGTTGTTTAAAAAATTACACACATCCAGAGCTTCTGATTTAGTGTGATTTGTGAAGCAAGACAATAATAGGTACCTGCAGAATAACAGTAGGAAGTGATTTTATAGCAGCCATTTATCTTTGCTGTTTCACCAAAAATGAAGCACATTCTAGTCTTTTAAAATAATACAGCACTGGAACATCCTCACTGTATTGAACAGTGCAATATTTTACTCCATCTTGACATAGTACAGTCACTCAATACTTTTTAATAAACAAACTATTACATTTGTTATTTACTAGTAACACCCCTTTGAAAACATCATCTTTTTTATGCTCCTATATTGTAGGAAGTTAAACTGTAGATCCGGCGGGTACTGTTTGTGCTTGCTTGCGCTCAAAAATCATTTTGACCAAAGGCCCTGAGAGAAGTGAAAAACTAATGTACTAATCAGAACAACACTGAAAATCCATGCCTCTCCACAAGCCATTACTTTACATGATTTTATATTGAACATGGAACCCTATAAAGATGGGGGGAGGCTACTCATTGGCTTAGCAGTTACCATGGATGACTCAAAACCGTTGGTTAAAACCAACTTTACCAATTTGTTTACTGATTCTATGCCTAATGTTTTGGAGACTATGAAAGCAGCAGTGGGTCAATGCTTGGCAAGAAAACTAAGTAGCCAAAGATGACGGCTTTCAAATGGGGCATTGTGGGTATTAGGTCTATTCTCAATCTTATAGTATAGTTTTCAGGAAACAAATGGCAATTGTGCTGCTGATTTTCAATATTGATATTGTTGAAATTAAATGACATTCACAAAATATTTGGGGGGGGCACCAAAAAAGTTTTCAGGACTGCATGTGGTCATGAATAGGTTACTATATTTTGCAATCACTTTCTTTGGGGCCATCAGTCTATAGTTCTATAAGTTTACATAGTGTACCACATTGTAAGCAGGAGGAATTGACAGAAAACATGTGCGACCTTCTTCCTGTATTGTCATTTAGAAATAATACTCTAAAAATATCTTCTCAAAGTAGATTTGAGACACATAGCAGAATCGGTTAAGAAAAGCGATCATTTTCAGCATTATAAATAATTTTCATCATTTTATAGTAATTTTCACTTAACAGCTGGTGGCCTTTGATGCTGACAGTTAGGCTAACAGCCAGAACTCTTGTTACATCATAAAACCTTACACCTTAAAATACATTAATCCACTGTATCTCCTCAGAAGCTCAAAGACCATCAGAGCAAACAGGCTACCTTCACCCAATGAACAGATGTATCCATCTTATTAGGGAACTTAATGAAATCAACCTGAACAACAATGGCAAGACACAGAAAGAGTTGTGCTTGTAGATCTAAACGCCAAAAGTCTCGGCGGCGTAAAAAGGGGCAAAAGAAAAAGAAATCGTGCAAAAAGCAACTAATCACTAAGAACAATGGTAACAACAGCATCCTTGTTCTTAATTTATACTATTTATTAACTTACTTTTGTATGATTTAGGTTATTCCCTCTGAATTGGCAGACTAGTTTGTGATTCATATATTTTAAGGATAAGATGTTACATTGAGGTTGGGTCACATGTGAATTGAAGAGATGCTCTATTATATCTCAAAGCAAATTTCATTATCACTATCCATAATAAATAACTGTTAGAGTAGTTGCCAAAAATATTTCAGAATGTCATCATTTTGTGACAAATTCAGATTTTCCTTCTTTGTTCTAGAACCTCCGTGTTCCAGAACATAATGCTTATTCCTCATTTCAGAATAGCATGGTACACTTAGAACACTAAAGAACATGGTATTCTAAGCAAGATGTAGCATGATATGCTAAAGGCGCTTCCCGATGAATATATATGGATTAGATAAGATAGCCAGGCATAGTTCACTTCCTCCATCCACCTTTGTGAAGGCAACCAAGAAACCTTTCCAGTGGATGGCTGGTAGCCATTTATTGTTATTTTGTGCAAGAAGTTAAGAACTTGAGCTGATGAAATGACATCACAAACTCAAGCCAAGCCATGATCAGAACTGTCATGACTAAGATGGAGAACAGTTATCCCTCCTTTACACCTTGTTTCCAAACAAAGTTGCTGCAAGGTCACAGGGGGTGAAAAAAATGGAGAACAGAAGGAGTTGCCTCTGCACAATTATACTTGCAGCTGTTCCTGTACCCTGTATTGTTTTCTGGAGGACTAATGGCTGCTTAACCATAAGCTAACCATTATTCCAGGTTCGGATGACATGCTAAGCCACGTCCAGAACTGCTTAACCATGGACAAAGCAAGATTACAGATTGTGATTAATGGGGTCTCAACTGACAATGAAGTGCCCAAGTTTCCAGGTTCAGATGAAACGGTAAGCCAAACTATAATATGGCTTAGCATGTCGTACGAATGTGGTCTATCACTACATATCAAAAGTATGTCTTGACTTGATATATAATAGGTGAATTCTCATCTCTGAGGAGTGCACAGATTTCTAGGGCAGAGACTATAAGAAAAAAACTAATTTCAAGCATGTATACACATCCTAAGGTATAGATACACCTTATCCTCCTTCCGCCTTTGTCCTCCTTCCTCTAAGCAATCTTGAACAATGGGGTGGGGGGCTGGGGGGGAGAATCCAGAAAGGGATGCTATGGAGCAGCAAGCAGTTTCCCAAAATGCCAGTTGAGAAGCTAAAAGTAACATGTCAAAAAATTAAAAATCATCAACTATGATTTAATATTTAAAAATAAATAAAACTAAAACTAAAATGCCATTAACTAATTTAAACATGGAAAGGTACATCCAGGTAATCTTGTTTAGAAATAGCCAAGGGCTTTTAATACACAATTGCATCTAACTACATTCATCAGGATTCCTTAATTCAAGAAAGAATATGTTCTTATTTATTTAATTTCTATAACTGCCCATCTCAGTCAATGATTCTGGGTGGCTTATAATTCATTACAATATATTACAATCAAAATACTCAAAACATTTTAATAAAAACAATAGAAACATGCAAATAAACTAGACATGGCAGCCGAGATACTTAGCCAATTAGCAATACAGCCAGGAAATGGGGCCCTTAACACATTCAGCACCTTAGGCTCAAGAACATAGCCAGGTGTTTAGGCCTTATGAAAGACTAACAGAGTTCGTACAGTAGATTATTGTTACCTCAATCTTACATAGAGCATCATTCTGGCAGAATCTAAACCAGAGATGTGCAACATTTTCTAAGTCAAGGGCCACACATGAAGGTCATGCAACAACTTAAAAGAAGTATACTTCCCTTCATATTATGAAAGCAGCTGTGGCTTTTTAAAAATGTGCTACAGAAGCTATTCCCAATTGTGTATATTTCACATGCATGTACATAAAGAACCTCTTTTGGACAATTTGTAGAATGTACCCCATGGTTTTGTTCTGGATAGCCATGGGTTGTACTCCAAAAAAGGTAGTGCGTGGCACCGTAAAGTTATCTATGTTGCATTAAGCCAAGAGGTTTCAGGCGGTGCTACTCTGTCCTACATTCTACACAGATCCAATGAGTAAAGTGGAAATAAGATCTATGAGCATTTCTTGAAAGATACCACATCCATATTGATAGCATCACCCTTCATGGATTTTTTGATTGTTAACCAAAAGTTTCAGACCATTGAGAATCAGTGTTTCATCTTACTGTCAATATCTGATAAGAAGCAAACTCCAAGGAGATGACATTGGGGAAGCAGCCTTAAATGGAGAACAAAGTCCAAGTGTAGCTGTGCTGAGACTGACCTAAAAGAATGGGTGACGAAAGTGAGGAGACATGAAGATGGACTATGGAAATAGTAGAGATTAGAGAGAGGGAGGGGGAAAAAGCAGGGGAGGAACTTGCGATGTCTGCATATGTACTTTGGGTATGATATGTATGTCTGTGATTGAGAATTAGGAGTTGGACTGTGTATTGTAAGTGTGGAGAAAATTATATGGATGAGAGAAGAAGAAACACAGATGTTTGACAGGTTCCTTAAGCAAGAGAGACAATTATGGGTCTCAATGTGTGAATCTGTATTCTGTAGTCTGAGTCTCAGGGCACATTCACACATCCCCTGTCAGCAGCTAAAAAATGCCTCACTAACCATATTTGAAAGGCTCTTTCTCATGACTCAAAACTTCTTCTCATCCCAGCCCACAGCTGAGGCAAGTTAACTTTGCATTTAGCTGATGTGATGCTAAAGTGGTATTTACATCTATTCCCAACACACGGTTTGCTAAAGTACATAATGCCACTTAGGCAGCCATTGTGGCAATTATGTGGCAGGAGGCTGGATCTGCCCATCTCTTAATGGCTACTTTAAACTATTGTGATCATGCCCCTTATTTCTAGTGATTGCTGGCATATCATCATGGCTATTTTGATTTGTGGTGCTTGGCTGATGTGACATCAAGAAAGGAGAAGCAGCACCCAGCACATGAGAGAAAACCATAATCCAGGAACTCTCTAAAGTAACCAGCCTCTCAGACCTCAGACCAAAATAGTCACAATGCTCTGTGAATTTGCAAGTCACTCTATGGCATGGTGTTTCTATGCGTCTGACAGGCAGAGGTCCTCACCTAAATGCTCTTGCAAGAACAGTAGCAAGGATCCTTGAAAAAGCAGTAGACCAGAACATCTCCAAAGCGACTGCTATCAGAACCTATGCAGAAAAAAGAACCTCAGAGGTGACCTATCAGGCACTTCCTTCTCTGTTGCCTGAAGGCAAATCTCACAATGACCAATAGAAAATTACTTATATTCAAAGGTTCTGACAAATGATTAAACCTGAAGATCTAGCCATCTGTGCTGTCATCTTCTTCCCTAGCCCCAGCCAACTCTAGAAAGCACCAAAAAAAAATTTTACTGTCAGAAAAGAACAAAGAGCATGTCTTTCCATTTACGGCATCTTAATTTGTCCCATAGTAAAATAGTTTTTTGTCAAGAAGGTAAGGGGTTAAATACAAAATCTTGGACATTGAATAAGCAAAAATTCTATATTTTTTTTCTGGACCCATTAAAGTTTGGTGATTTTTCCCAGAATGCACGACCAAAGAGCTAATCGTTATTTGTCAGAAAGGACTGACTTTAAAATATCCCTCTAATGCTCATTATTCATGTATTCAGATATTCCCATCCCATTTCTTTCACAGTCCCAAAATCGGCTCCAGAGATCTCTCTGAAATAGATTTCAGGAAATATTAACTTGTTCTTGGCTGCCTGATTAACAAAGCATAAATTGATTATGGAGGGAAAGCAGATTTATACTGGTTTCCTTTGCATTGCCTCAGAGATTGGAGAAAAACATGTTAGTCTTTGATCTGGATGTGTCTTCATCTCTACATCTATTTGCATTCTATTTTAGCATTACTTGTCTGCTATTATCCACAGTGTATATTTCTATGGGTTAAAAAATGAGTTTTTATTTTGAAAGTCAGAATCCCCATCTGTATTTTTTATTGTGAGGCAAGTTGCATCTATCTTTCTGGGAAACATATTTTTTGACTGGTTACAATCTCTCTGTATAAATTGTTCTTTACATTTGTGGTAATTTCTACACTAGTGATTTGTAGTATCTTCTAGGACAGTGATGGTTAACCTTTTCCAGACTGAGTGCCCAAAGCACCCGAACCTCCAAAATGCAATGCACTCACGACCCCCTGCATGCGCCGCACCCCCTGCATGCGCACATGCCCTCGCATGCACCCCACACTTCCGCACATGCACACGCGGCCCCCCGCATGTGGCCTGCTCTTCCCCCACATGCACAGCAGAGACCCAAGGACCAGCTGGGCAGCAGGAGGCATGCACACATGCACAGCAGAGCTGAACTGGGGCGACAGCTCACATGCCATCAGGGAGGGCGCTGCGTGCCACCTCTGGCACGCATGCCACAGGTTTGCCATCATTTATTTATTTATTGGTTCGATTTATATGCCGCCCTTATCCAGAGACTCAGGGCAGTTTACAATGCGTTAAGCAATAGCCTCCATACTTTTGTATATACCTGCTTAGTAGGGCTTTCGGGGGCCCCCTAAGCGGTGTTCTTTTTTATACAAAGTCAGCTTATTGCCCCCACAATCCGGATTCTCATTTTACCTACCTCAAAAGGATGGAAGGCTGAGACAACCTTGAGCCTGGTGAGATTTGAACTTGCAGTAATTGCAGGCAACTCGTGCTATTTAACAGCACTTTAGTCTGCTGCGCCACCAAGGCTCTAGGATCATCAGACATCACTGAGATACTCTAACAATAATGGCAACAAGCTTATACTGTCTCAGTGGTGTCTTAGTGATGCCATAAGACAGTGTTTCTCAACCTTGATGACTTTAAGATAGTGGCTTTCAATTCTGGGACTTGAAGTACATCCATCTTAAAGTCATCAAGGTTGAGAAACACTGCTATAAGATGCTAAAATTCCTGGTCAAGGAAGTGTCTTGTGAAAATCTCACAACATTCCAGATATATTTATTGACCTGAAAATTTTTACTTAATAAAACATTTATCCTACAAAGATTATTTTTAAACAAAATTATGACTATTGGGATTAGTCATGTGAATTTAACTTGGACAATTACTATTTATAATTGTAATGTATTACACATTTTAATAGGCCACAATCACCACCATGGAGAGAAATTTCTTTGTAATTTTTTGCATTCAGTGAAAGCTGAATGTTCCCACAA